TTACTATTTACTAATATTTCGTATCTTTTGACTTTCTTGAATTGAACCTCTAGTCTGTATTCATTTACAAGCATAGCGAACCAGAAGAGTGTTAAAAATTCAATATAATATATATCTAATCATATTTTACAACTGTAGCACTGAGTTCAAAATGTAAACAAAGCGTTTGTTTACATTACGGACATTACATGGTCTTTAAAGATTTTATAAAGAAAGATAGATTTGTATTTGGCACGTCTTACATTAGGAGGTTTCCAAATGAGGTTTGTGTGGAAATTGCAAAGCCAACTTCGCACGTTGCTGATACTTTCTTTTCTATTCGCAAAGCAACTTTTATGAATATGACAAGGCATGGTAAAAGGTCACTGCTTCCCTGCCAGCTCTTGGTTTTGCTAATAATGCTATAAAGGCATAAAGCCCTCTTTTCTAACAATATATCTTCTACCTTCATTTGCTATATTTCAAGAGCGACTATCCATTGAAAAAAACTGGGGGGCGGCATTTTCATAACATTGGACATTCCCGAGGTACAAAACTTCAGGTGGTAGAATTATGTTGGTGAAGACCGCTAATATGTCATGGCAAGCATTCTGATTCCGCTTCATCCACGACTCAATCTTTCAATTAGCCTTTCTCACGCCGCCATTTTTGGGTGGCATTTTAGCCGAAGTCTGCGAGATAAGTCAACATAACAGCAACTTTTTATAATTTTTTGGACAAATGATGATAAATTTGCCTGTAAATGGTTAGTTTATTTTGAAAAATTGCTTTTCACTTTGTTTTAATTGTCTACATTGGTTAACGAGAATTGAATGCCACCCAAAAATAGCGGATATTCGTCATCGTGAGAAAGGCTAATTCATTTCAACTGCGACCAAAAAAGACCAATTTTTTACAGACTGTACAACTTATTCATTAAATTTGTACATATAACAATTTTATAGACAAATTAATCACAAATGGTCAATTTTGTATTGACATTCTTGGGGAACCAGATTGGCGTGGGATTGACGTATGATATGCTAATTATTTAGATTGCGTAATACTCGGTACCAGTTTCTCATATAAGGTCGTGTTCGAACTTCATTCTTTTCCTATTTATATCCACTGATCTGTGTATCTGCTGCAAAATCTCTAAAATCGTGGCGTTTTAACAGCGATTTAGCTTCGAATCGGTTGGTTCTACTCTCGCAAAATGTCAGGAGAAAAGAAAATCGTTACTTTAGCCGAACTGCAAGAACATAACACGGCGAAATCACTGTGGGTTGCAATACACAACCAGGTTTACGATTTGACTAAATTTTATGAGGTTTGTATATTTAACATGTTTTATATTAAATACTAAGATGAAAAAAATTAGACGATTAGACCGTAGAAACAACGTGGTCTTTAAAGATTATATAGCCGCAAAAGTTCGATGTTTAAGGCATCCTGCAAATATTTATAAGATAACCAAAATTTATAGCAATACTGTATCTTGTGAAGCAAGAATATCAATATGTGTACATATTGTGACCTTTCACCTGGTACCAGGTCGTTCCATACAACAGTGATTTTGTACTTGATTTCCTAGTCTCGGTCTCCAAACTCTGATATGGCAAAAAAGTCCACGTTTTAGAGGTTGTGTGTTGGATTTAATGCACATCAAATTGTTCTAGTACTTTGACAGTTCATAGAACACCTTCTAAAGCCCTGGTCAAATGAGAGTTGAGAGTTTGCATGAGAGTTTCATATGATAACAAAACTTGCATGAAAGTTGACTAGATGTTACCACATACATGCCACAAACTCTTAACAACTCTCATTAAAATTTGAACCAGTTCAACGTTGACGAGAGTTTGCGGTCAATCGCAACAGCTCTCAATCTCTCATCCTAGTTTGAGTGATGCTTCAATTTTCTCCCTATGAATTCAAATTACATTTTAAGCCTTCCATTTTTGTGTGCAATCTTTAAAGTGGGTTTTAAAAACAACCCTCTTGCACTCAAAAATTTACTTTTCAAAATGATCTTATTGGTACAGACAGGGCCGTACCTAGATGCAATAATTGGCGGGGGGGGGG